TTGGCTGTTGGTTTTGCATAAATCAGGTGTCTTTTAATCAAAATCTCTCATGTATTTCTTAGGAATACTTTACTTTGAATTCTGGTCTGGCTCTGCTTGATTTGTTTGTGTGTGAGAAAGAATGTGTGTGTGTAGCACCAGTGCAACAGTATAGAGTGGATGTAAGTGTGACTGGAAATTTGGTAACCAAGGTTCTGTACCAGAATGGAGCCCCCTCGGCTGCATTCTGAAAAACCGGGCTCAGTTTGACCTTGAGCCTATAAAGAGAAAAACTGGTATTTTTTTGTAACACCGTCTGAACACAATATTGGTGAGTCTGGGGATAGATGGTCAGAAAGTAGATGTCTAATCTATGATATTATCCAGTTAAATATCAAAAGTCTAAACTATGATATTATCCAGTTAAATATCAAAAGTCTAAACTATGATATTATCCAGTTAAATATCAAAACTGGGAAGAACTGTTTCATCTAGTGTCATTCTTAGCATTGTTTCAAAACAAGGATTTACAGAAACAGTGTGGGGTGATGGTTGTACAATCTAAAGGGAAATCAGGTTTTAAAGGTGTCCTTCAGAACTCTGAAGACCCTTATCCTGACTCCATTCCTCCCCCATATGCTTCTCCCCCATACCTCCCGGAGCCAAAAAACCAATTCACCTCATCTCCACCACCTAAGCCTAAAGGAATCTTGAATTCTGAATCCCCTAAAACTCCTGTAGTGTTATATCCCCCTTTACCTGATAGCACCCCAGAAGCCACTCATACAATGGGCATCCCTCAGGAAATGGTCTCCTCAGCACACACTCAGAGCGGTGTAAAATTTGGCCAGGGGTCTAAGCCAGATCTGTCAGGGCAATACTCATTACAGCAGATTTCAGCTGGTTTTAAATCATGAAGGAAATCCTGGAGGCTTCATTTTGACTCATATACGATTTACATTAATATGTTATTAACTACCTTATCCCTGAAGAGAGGCAAATAGTATTAGAGAAAGCTAGAGCAGAAGATGACAGACTTCACAACCTCCACCATGAAAACCTAGTCAGAGGCCACAGCCATCAAGCAGTGCCAGGAACAGATCCAGAATGGGATCCTAATGACCCAGAGGACAGAGCAAGATTGACTCATATGAAGGAGTATATTGTCATAGGGCTCCAGAAGGGGGGCTCCAAAGCAGATTCAAAAGTTCAGGAAGTACAACAAAGCCTCAAGGAAAATCCTGCTTTCTTCAAATGGGTATATAAAACTTACCATCAATGTACTGACACTGACCCAGATGACAGAATTAGAAGGGAGACTGAGTATGAATACTTCTCAACTTGTAGAGGTTGCTTCTTTGGTCTATAATAATCAGGACCAAGAGCAGGAGAAACAGGAGCAAGGAGACATGATGCAACAAACTGCCTTGCTGGCTGCTTCCCTGGGAGACCTGCCATGAAGTTAATCCTACCCGGTAAGTCCACATGGGCCCCCAATGGATAGAAAGAGAGTGAATCAAACTCCTGCTCCAGGAGGCCAACCAACAAAGTTGGGGCCTCAACAGTGTGCTTACTGCAATAAAGATGGGCACTGGAAGAGGGAATGCCCAGAACAAGCCCTCCAAAACCAACCAAAGGGGGCCCAGCAGATAGTAAGTACAGCTAACAGCAGTAAAAAATGATGGGGTCCAGGGGCTCCGTTGCAGACTGGAAAAATTCCTATCTCCTACTAGGAGCCTGGGTGGCAATAACTGGAAAAACAGCCCATTGAATCTCTATTGGACACAGGGGAAACCTCAGTCCTAAACATCTCCAAGGCCCCTCTGTTCCAGAAGACTATGAGTATTACTGGAGTTTCAGTAATGTAAAAATCTTCTTCAACCTCTTGGATGCCAGGTTGGGAGCACTGTATTAACTTGGAAGTTTTTATACATGCCTGAATACCCTGTTCCTCTGTTGGAATAAGACTTAATAACCAAGTTAAATACTCAAGTTACTTTCTCAGCTAACAAGCTCCAGATGGATGTTAATCCCAATGAGGCATGGGCCTTACAGACAACCTCCTGCAATTACCAACTACTATGGACTACAGAAGCAATAGACAGGACAGAGCTGTCACTGCAACCAGCACTTGTTATGGGAAAAAATAGCCTGTATACTTGGCTGAATAAACTTATTGCAGGACTGAATCTGTACAAAATCATCCAAAAGGTTACACAAGGCTGCTTGACCTATGCTAGAAACAATCCAAAATGCAGTCCACCTCCAGTGGTAAGAGGAATTCAAACAAGAAGACTGAACCTATACAAGGACTGGCAGGTAAAATTTATAACGCCTGAAAAAATCAAGTACCTGTTAGTATTTATAGATAATTTCACTGGATGGGCGAAAACCTTTCCCTGCAGCATGGAAAAGCAGCAGAGGTGAGTAAACCCTATTAAAATTATCCCCGGTTTAGTTTGCTAGTCTCAGTTCAAAGTAATTATGAGGGAACATTTGCATCTGAAATAGTCCAACAAGTAACAGGACTAGCCTATTGACAGGAAAAACTGAGAAGATGAAGCAAACTTTATTATTATTGTTCTTGTGATTTGGGTGAAGATTTACAGAGCAAATTCACTTTCCATACAGCAGTTCACATACACATTGTCTCATGTCATTGACCACAGTTTTCCACAATGCAACAGCTCCCCTCCCACATCCCCCCCATAGTTATCTCTTCCCAGTGTCCATCCCTCCATACACTCCTGCCCCCTGAGCTGTCTCCCTGTGCATAAGCAGCCCTTCTTTCTCCCATGATTGTTCTCTCCAAGGCGTGTATCTACTTGAGGTAAATGTTTAACCCGCATGCCTGTATTTTGTTTGGCTGGAAACCACAAGTGTGGGTTCAATTCCAGACCTGAAGGGCAGCTAGGGGCCATAGTCTCAGTGGTTCCACCAGGGTCTATCAGACCAGCAAACCTGGTCCCCACCTTTTTTTTTTTCCTCCAAATGATTTTGAGTTTTGTTCCACATTGTTCTCCCTCTCTATCCAGGATCTCCTACATAGATCCCCTTCCAAGTGGATGACAGTGGTAGCCAGGCACTATCTAGTTCATGAAGCATACTTTTAAGAAGACACTAAGTAAGATGTGCCAAGAGACCAACTTATCTTAAATAAGACTCCTTGACCTGTTACAGATCTGGGTTACCCCCAGAAGCAGGCTCAAATTAAGCCTATATGAAATATTATATGGGAGACCATTTTCTAGAGTGTGTCATCCTAGTTATGCAGGAAAGGAAGACCTTAAAATTGTTAAGGAATTGGATATTTTAAAACATGTGCAAACTTTGCCTTCAACATTAAAAATTATTAACCAGTTTTCTTCCAGCAGGTTGTTGTATCCTACAGATACTCCCCTTCATAGCTTCTGTCTAGTGATTGGGTCCTACTAAAGGAGTGGAACAACTGGACTCCCCAGAGCCAACTCCAGGCCAAATGGACTGGACCTTATGAAGTATTGCTGACAACACATTCTTCAGCCAAACTGAAGGGAGTCCACCCTTGGATACATCACACCCAATGGAGGATAACACCAAACTGTACTGAGAACTCTCCTCAACCTATAATTGAATTTTATTCTACAGGGAACAACCTTGGGGAACAGGGAACCTGGGCAACTAAATATTAAGTATCCCCAACAACCTATAGTGGAATATACTTGTGAGCCCATTGAGGATCTTAAGATTTTATTTAA